TCCATGTTCGAAAGTTCGAGTTAGAAACGAACACGGGGGTGCTCGGCTCATCACTAATCATGACCCAATAGTTATCCATTGGGTATGCCCAATGCAAGGCACAGTTGCAACTCTTGCAGCTTTTGAGCATGCGTTGCCATACTTATTTATTACATACCACACTAGATGTCAGTCAAAAACATGTATCACACATACAGAATAACATGTATCTAGATGTTCAAGAGCTACATTCTGAAGAGCATATGTGCACCAACATAGGCCTCAGATGCCTGTATCTAAACATGTCCCTAAACTACTGCAAATTAACCTCCATAATTGTCCATGCCTATGTGGTAGAATATCATTTTTCAGACCTCAAAAAGAGTGGAACATTGTAAAAAGGAACAGAAAGACAAAGTATGTACACTTGTTGAGTTTAGATTGGATAAATTGGGGATGGGGTGTATGTGTTGTACTGTATTTTCTGTCTTAAAGAGCCAATCTACACAAACCTGACGTTTTACTTAAAGGAGAACTATGAGATGAGTGCTTTTCACTCACCTCATAGTTCTAGCCGACCTGTGACAATGAGACTGTCACAGGTCGGCTCAGTAGATCGGGAGGTGAGCGAACACATACCGGGATCGCTCGCCTCTCAATCCTGTCACGGCTCTCTGGCTGGATTCCCCTCTCCCCGCTCCGATCTGCCAGTGCTGACTGGCGGAACGGACGGGGGAGGGGGCGGGTACAGCTGTCTCTGCCTCTAGATAGGCAGAGCCAGCTGTCACTCACGCAGCTGGGCGGATACACGTACATACAAGCACAAGCACAGTATGTGCTTGTATGCACGTGTGTAAATCTGTGTGTATGTGTGTACACGGGTGTACATTTTTATTCCTTTTATTCCTTTCATTCATTTTATCCCCATTTTTATAACTTCTCCTCTACTACATTTTTAGAGCTCCCAATAAAGACAATTTTAATACAGGCATTTCCCACATGTTAGCCCTCCAACCAAGGTCCTGTTTTTACCAAAATACCATTCCACTCAACTATCTAGTAGTTTTTTATCCTAATACGACCT